CACGTGCGACGTGATACTGTACAATAATAATAATCATAGTCCGGAAGTATAAATAGACTGTGGCGGAAGTAACGAATTTCTTTTAAAACGTCTCACGTCATATGGCAAAAATGTATATATAAATTTATAGATACGTTAGTATTCTGCTATATACATATATACATGTATTTACTTATGATCGAATGAATTTCCGTCCATTCAATTTCTCGGCGTCGCTCCTATTTCCTCTTTCCGCACTTTAATTCCGAGGTATCTCGAAGAAACCCGAAGTGTCCTCGGAGGGCGATGCGGTAATACGATTACACCCCGTGAAAAATGTAATTCCGATCTTTGATATGTACATACATCGACTCCTGGAGACGCACGAAAATGTATATTACAAAATGAGATATATAGAAATGTAAAAAATTGTTGAAAAAATACGTATCCAAAAACACGTGTAAAATTTTCTTAAAATATATAATAAATATATTTGCTGGAAATATATATTGGAAAAAATATTTTCCATAATAAATAATTTGCCATAAGACACTGAATAGCTTCGTACTTTTGGCATTTAATACTCGAGATGGCCACTTAAGAATTTCAAAAGCGATAAGGGAGGCACGATGCTCTCTTAAATAAATTCGGAAAATTTTCTTGGTCGTTCCGCGAAAACGTGAATGGTCCCCCGGAAGTGCCGTAGAGCCGAGCAATATCAATTTGTTATTTATGGTAGATGCTGGGAAACCCAGTAGTTTCGTGTCTTTCCGTCGGCGTCCGAGATATTCGAAATTTGAGGGGCTCTTGCCCGAAAATAACCTAACCCACATTCGTTACTCGGTGACGTAATGCCCGCTAGTACCTAACCTATCCGACAGCTCGATCTTCCTAACGCGGCAGCACTCCCAATCGGCGACGAGAATTGGTACGATAAATAAAATGGACACCGGAGGCAGGAACGTGGCGTCGCCTAGATAGAAACGATCGCGAGTTATTTCGCACAAAGGTAGATAACGCGGACTGTAATTCCCAGTGAATTTCTACCGATAAAACTGCTGGATTATCCTCGCAGTTTGCCTTAACCGACCGACGGGGACGATGTATACTGTAGATAGCGTTAAACGCTTGGATTAATATGAAGTTTAAGCTGGAAATTTATTAGGATCCTCGTACGACCCTTTTTACCTATTAAACGGAAAAAAAGGTCGCGTGGGATTTCGTCTGTATTTTAGTACCGTGTCTTGGCTCAGTTAGCTATTGTCATTTATGCCGACAGGTACATGTGCTCTGGCTGGAAAAAGACTGTGGCTCTTATCAATAGTGAAATTCAAGGGCATCAACATCGATAAGATTACCCGAAGAGGATATTCGTATTCCTTGCGGAAGGATCATTGGAAAATTAATTTTGGCGATATATTGTATATATATATATTTTTTTTCTTTTTTTTTTATTGCAACTTTTCAATTTATTTACTCGATGTTCGACATTCGCGATTTTCAATTACGATTGCGAATTCGATTCGTTGGACGTATTTACCTTTTTCATGGCAAATACAGCGTGCGTATTTTTTAAAAATTATTATTTACGGGTGAACACAGAGAAATGTGTTTTTTATGTGTGATCTGGAAAAATTTTTTTGCACATTCTTTTTTTTCTTCGTTTTTGAAGATATCGATTATTTCGAATAGGGGTAGTTAAGGAGGGATATCGAGAATCCGATTGACGTAATAAAGCCCCAAACTTAATCCTCGCGATAAAAAGGGTGATCGCGCTCGATCGGAATATCGTGGCTAATAACCCTCGGGGATGAAACCCACATAATTTCGAATTTCCTAATTTAGCCCCAAAAATCGAGTCTCGATCCTCAACTGCACATCGACGCGAAAGGTAGAAAAATTGTTTCACCAGCCTGTACCGCAATAACAATTTCATTTTTTGCCCCCTGCAACCTGTCTGACCTAATAAATTTTTTTTTTTTCACTTGTTTGTGTTTACCTCAGCGTCCACTCTGTTTTTGTTTGCCCAAAAACTCCAGGGATAGAGTATACTCGAAAGGTTGAAGCGAAGTTTAAAACCTCGTAACCTCGAGACCTTAAAGCCTTGAAATTTTTTTAGACCTTGAATATAAAATTTCAAAAAAATACGTTTCACTCTGCCCTTTAATCACGTTAATTATTTCATTCAGGTACAACGAGTAAAAGGTACACTCCGCGTAAAAATTATGTCACAAAATCCGGGACTCAGAAAATTTTCATCTCCCAAAAAAAAAAAGAGAAAGGACGAGCGGGTGACAAAAAATTGCAAGAACTTTGTTTACGTCCCTGCTATGCATTGTACAGCCCGTGTAAAAATTTATTAAAAGTCATTACCAGGCTCCAAAATGACTCAACGGGATTAACCTGAGCTTCGCTGAAATTAATGTGCAACATTGACTCCCCGTTGATTAAAGGTAAACTCGGGAAGAATTCATAGACCAGCCGAAACTAGCTACTCGACAGGTATACTTGGTACACGGTACTAATGGTAAGTAAAGGGTACCAGTAGTGATGTTGATAGTACCAGTAGTAACAGCAGTACGTTATACAGGTGTCTGGCCAATAAATGGTAGTAACCACTGATTGAAAATTTTGATTCGGATTGTCTTTCTCCATGGACATTATTATTTCAAGAAAACATCTCACGTCCCCTGCCAACATCCATTCTTCATCTTTCCTTAAAACGAAAATTCATTTTTCTTCAGTCTTCGTTTTTCGTATATTTTTCTCGGTCACGCGATAACCGCCGTTTTAATTACCACAGAGTATAATTGTACAATATTTTTTTTAATACGAAAAGACAAATAATCAAAATGCTGAATTTCAATGAACAACCGCGAAAATAGACGATGATTTCAATTTCGTATACTATATACCCACACATTTCTGTGCCTTTATTGGCCGCGTCGGTAACTGCGTTGGAAACAGCCTTGACTCTGTACCCAATTAATAATCTGCTAACGTCAAGGCCAAAGGGTGCTCCGACTCAGCCCTCCCATAAGTTAAATAAAAATATAGCACGAAAAAAAAGTCAGCGTATATCCGGTGTGGAATAAAAATTGAAAGCTTCTCTGCCAAATGGTCCTTTGAGTAAAGAGAAAGAAAGAGAGAAAAAAAAAGAGTCGATGAAATCCATAAAAAGCGAAAAGGTCCTTAAAAGAAGCTCATTAAGAATATTCAAGAGAAAGCCTTTCTCGCTTGGCATAACGAGGATTATATGCAGAGCCACGTACTTGGCCCTTTATACCGACGCGAAGTATTTATCGTTATAGTTATAAGGGCTAAGTTTATTTCCCTCCCGCCACCCACTTTCCCACCCTTGCCAAATAAATCCCCAACACTTTGAACAGGATACCCTCTCTCCACCCCCTCTCTCTCTCTCTCTCTCTCTCTCTCTCTTCCCACCGTCATCCTCCCAAGCATACATTTTCATTAACCCGATCTGCTTGACTTTGATTTACAAGCTTCTCGTCTTTCGTCCCAACGAATTTCGGAAAATAAGCAAAGTACCACCCTTTGATAAATCTCATATCCGATAAGGACTCATAAGACCCTCCCGTTAACTTCTATGAGCGTATAGTGCCCTTGAATATTTTTTCTCCTCCTATCCGGCATCCCTTATCTAAACCTAACCCCCTTTTCAAATCAAATTAGTACTTCACCCTGAAATAAAAGGAAATCGAATAAACCCTCGATAGGGCCCCAATGGGAATTTCTTTTTTTTCCTGAAGTTCTTGGCCCTATAGGGGGGGGGGGAGCGCCAGTGAATGATTTAGGATGGTCAGAGTGGCACGGCTGGGTAGTACCAATTTAAAGGCTGTAGTGTCGCGCGCGACGAGAGCAACCGGTCAGGGAGCTTTGCGACAGAACGAACCGGCGACAGCAGTTTCGTGTCGTCCCTTCCCCTACCCCCCACCTAGCCCACCTTGTCCCTTTGCGTTTCAAAGGGAAGCCGAGTAAACACTTTTCCGCAAACTTCAGCCTGGTGAAAACTTTGCTTTTAATTTCACTCTACTTTTACCACGCTTCACTATGGTTGGTACGTTACACACGTCATACCAACCGCCGTACGCGTTACCGGCTAATTAGGTTATGCAAAATAGCCGTTGCGTCACGCCACTGCTCCTGGGTATGCCAAACGGACGTAAGTGGATTACACGGCTAGCGCGAAGCGCCGACAAAGATATGCCAAGACGGTAACGTATGCCGAGGCTGTTCGGAAGGATCTTAAGAAGGTTTAGCCTTAAGGCTTTGAAGAGAATCGCGCGATAAATATTATTTGCGCGTGGACAAGAGCCCGATTAATATTTGGCGTCGAAAAGAGTTTAGGAGAAAAAAAAAATTTTTGGTTTTTAAATATTTCAATTTTTTTTTTTTTTTTTCGTGTCATTTTGTCTGCTCTCGTATGCTAAGATATATACTGCCTGTGTATAGTGGGAACGTGAATGCAATGTAGGAGAAAAATCCGGCGACAAAACATTCCACACTGAATACCTTTCTAGTATTTCGTTCTGCTTCCTGCGTTCTTTCAGGACTATAAATATTTTCGACCTTCCATTTCATTCTTTCTCATTTCTTTCTCTCTCTATCTCTCTCTCTCTCTCTCTCTATCTCTCTCTCTGTTACCTTACTCGCGGTATTATATTTTTCTCTGTCTCAGCATTCCGCCATCTCACGGTTCACCATAAAGCTCTCGACGCGACGGAGCTTTCGTAACATTTACGACGATTTCCAAGCGGTCTTACGGTTTAATCTTAACGTCGTGACGTCAGTGTAAATTAAGATTATTGCATCTCATCCTTAAGAATGATCAATGGAGGGATTGCTATAAAAAAAAATCTAACCCAAAATCCATTATGACATCAATAATATTTTTCGAGATTCATATTCGCATTTCGTATTAAATGTTTTTCACGATAACGTTGATCTATTTTTGTGTTAATTATTGTAAAAAAAATTTAATGATCATTAATCGTAAATACCTGCGACCTTGTCCGTGATACGAAGTTTTTCGGCTGCCATATAGCTTTTACCAGCCAACCGGTGTGCTTTCGAGTTTGACGGCATAGAAGTTTGTTATATATACATTTATTTATTTTTGTATGTATATATATATATATATATATATATATATATATATCACGAGAACTCGCGAGTCATCGATCACAGCAATCGAATTCCTTCCGTAACCAGAGCACTTCCGATTTGCAATCGCAGTATAGGAACTGTTGGGATATTTCCGGTTGACAGAGATAGAAAGTCCTCGATAAATTTTCCCTCGCGAATTACGTAACGGCTAAGAGAATATATAAAGCAAAATTTGCCAATGAACACTTCACGATTTCTTCGTCCACCCCTATAAGGTACACGAGGGTGGATTCATCTAGAGATTTCAGTAGATATCAGACAGCAAACTGCATCACATGCTTGAGGATCGCTAAAACAAAATTATTGCAAGAAATATCCGATCGATAAAACTGCGAAAAATCGATAAAGAATAAAAGAAAAAAAATATAATTAACGATTTAATCTGTCAATGGACCAAAAGAAGTTAATCACGTTTTCTAGAATCGAGTATGACGTATACATGTATTTTTTTCTTAAAGATCCATCGATGCCCTTATATAATTACGACGACAGGTCGACCAAGATTGCGAAAGTGTGAGACTGGTCCAGCGAGAGATGCTGTATAAAAAAAAAGAGAAAGGGAAAAGGAAAAAATAAATAAAAAATTTGACGATACGTATGAAAATATAAATTCGTACGTGTCTTTTTATTGGTAACGAAATAATAATAACAGTTCACTGTACGCGACTGCAGTGCGAGCAGCAGATCCAGCATCCGAATAAAATGGTGGGGAAGATAACTATTGGGCGCCAGATTAAACGGAGAGAGCACCAGGGACACGTTCGGCCAACCAGGTCTGACCTAGTTAGATCAGGGCCGGAGAGTGTACGACTCGTACGCGTTCGCGTCGCGGGGTATACTGAGGAGCTTTTTGAGCTCTTCCTCGGCTGGCTGAACGTGCGGAGGTTCACCCTGGTTCGGCAAAGTTCGGCCAGGCGTTCGGGAAAGTTCGCCAGTTGGCTCCGACGGTGCTCACATTCTGCCGTCACCGTCCACCCCTAACCTCACAAATCTCCCACCCTTTCCCGTCGACCCTCAAGTTCCTATATCGTTCCGTTCCACCCTCCTGCCTCCCGTAGGCCACCCGACAACCCTGGAACAACCCCCTACGTTAACCCCCGCCAGGGGCGCCACTACCCCTGCAGAGAAACCGTAGTGGGGTTAGACCATCTACACGAAATCCCCTCCATATCGATCACTGCGCAGTACGCTCCCAGCATCCACCCTGTAACACTGTCGTCATCCCTATCATCCCTTGCATCCCCACCATTCTCATTTCGTTTCATCCCCCGCCTGGCGATCGCTGTTGTGAAAGGGACACCACGAAAATCCTTGGCCGTTTCTTCACTGACATTTGATTTCCCGACAGCGCCTAACTGGACAGACGTATCTCTCTGAATAAGAGGTCAGGTCAGATTAGGTTGGGTTAGGGTTAACTTACTTTTTCGAAGCCATCCAGTTTTTTTTTTTTTTTTCACTCTACGCTACTCGTGCGTAAATATGTTTTACAGGGAAATTTTTATCGTATCGTCGTTAAGTATTGTACGTGAATTGGGTGAATCAAACTGTCCAGGAATTATTTTTAATTTAATTACGAAAGTTGACGCTACGCGGCGCGCAACGCTGCCAGGAGGAGGACACGTTTATTAAACGATTGAAAGCACGTGTGCCGGATACTGGCCGGCTTGTTTTAACGAGCCAGCTCACTCGGGGGCGCAAGCTGTCGAACAGGGCCGTCTTTTTTGGTAGCTGGAAGGGCGCCAGGGACGATTTATCAATAAAAATAATTATATTATCGGTCCGCTCTTCTTTATACTTAGCCTGGTGCGGTTGCATGTAAAAATGCATATATGGACTTTATGGAATCATATATAGGGTATATATAGGTATACCAGGGAAAAGGCGCGCTTTCGCGCGCGATTTAAATGTATCTACAGCTTCAGCGCTATGAAGGAATATAGCATCGGACGACATATATTATATTACAGAATTTTGTAATTTATCTAAGGAGCAACTGATTTATGGAATTGTTTTTTTTTTTCAAAATCGACGAAATTTTGAATCAATTAGTTCTTTCATAAATCGGTTAGTTAATTTTGAAATATAACGAATTATTCATGAGTGCGTCAGATTAATTCCAAACCAAGTACAATGTTCAGGAGTAAAATTGATTTCGACCTGTTTTACCTCAAAGTCAAATTTATTTTACAAAGTCAACCGCTTTGATACTCGTCCACTGACGACACCGACAACCAATCACAATTCCACTCAAACAACGTGAATGCTACAATGGAAACTCTGATTAAAATCTGACACGAATTTTTTTACTAAAGCGAGTGATACGACTTTTTTGAAGTATGGGAGACGGAGTGGGTGGTAAAAACATTTTTTAAAAAAAGCGAAGAAATTGTAAAAAAGAAAGGCATTTCACTTTCGTGTAAAAAGGCCGAGTATGCAATATCGGACTTTTTATTTCCCACGTGGATAGAGGTCGATGCAAGAGGCAAGTCTTTCTTTCTTGCTTTCTCGATGCTTCTTGTTTTTATATGTATATTTTTTGTTCCATGCACTTTAGCAGTCAACAGCCTTTACCAGTCACCGTGGTTTTATTATTATTTTTTATTTAAAGACTCGACGCCGGCACGCGATATCGCACAAATGGACTAAAATGTCTTTCGATTGGATATAACGAAATTCTCGATTTTATCTTATTTTTTTCTAACCTTCTTTTGGCCATCCCTGCGCTTTCCTCACTTGGAAAAGCCTCGCGCGCCACTTTCACCATTCATTTTCTCGGTCCATAGAGAATACACACGTGAGTACCTAATTGACCAAATATTCGTTCAACTGGCCATTATCGTCAGGTAAACCTATCATTTATAATTAATGATCCGCAATTAATTAGCGCCCCGGAGCGAACAGCACCGATATCGAGAACGGCCTAACGTGCGAATTGTCAGAATTACTGGTATCAGGAAATCAGTCTGATCGATATCCAGTCGCACTTCATTACCATAACCCTAAAAATCGTCCGAGTCGAGAAATTTTTCATATTTTCAAAAAAAAAAAAAAATCTTCCTTGCGAGAAAAAAAGATAACGTCACGTGACTAAAAAATGAAGGGATGTCAAAAAAATTATTATTATTATTATACGTTAACAAAATGTTACATTACTTTTTTATTCACCTTGCATCGGTGTCAAACATGCACCAGGTATTACTTATCTGTATCCAGTATATTGGCAGAGTAGATAAAACTGAGGTGATGCGAAAACGCGCGGTGGTACCAGTTGCGGGATTAATTGGACCGGCTCGATCGAGGATCGGATTAAAGTCAGAGTTGGCGCAGCCTTAGAAAATCCGTGGCGGCCCTAATTGTGTTAGCCACGCACGAGGAGCCACATTGGATGTAGAAGAACCGGAAGGCCTACGGGAGCAGAAGCGAATGGAGATGGTAGAGAGAAAGATGGGCACTGAGGGAAGACGGGGTAAACGTGGAGGGAGAGAGAGAGAGAGAGAGAGCAAAAAAGATATGTAGATAGAGCGCAAGAAAGAGATAGTACACAGAAGAGCTAATATTATCTTACCTGTGAAACATATACCCGATCGAATCGAGCCCGCTGAGATCAAAGTGATTTGGCCGCCTTGGCAAAATTGATATTACGACAATACGACCGATATCTCTCTGTCTTCTAAATTTCCTAAAACATTTTTATCCGCTGCTTTTTTTTTATCAAGAACACAATGAAAATCCAACTTTCGATGGAAATTTTATATTTGTTATCTATCTCGATCCATAGTATGTGGCTTTGACTTGGTGGTTAAAAATTAATTCATTAATTAATATCGAAAGTCTTAGCGATATATATCGGAATATCGATAGTCGAGATCTACCATTAAAAAATTAATACGTTGCGTTACCGCAAAATAAACGGTATATCCGAGAAATGCAATATTAAAAAAAAAATAAATAAAAAAATTTAAGCAAAATATATTTGTTGTCAATTGATGCACGTGAATATCAATGACGATGCAGTTGATGAATTTGATTTGAATAATTATATAGTCTCGAGATCCGATAATCGATAGAATGGCCAGTGGTTACTTGGCTTTTGTCAATGGCGCTGCGGTATGACACTAGCCCATGATGACGTCCGAAATGGGAATCACAGTGAGGCGTCCTCGCGTTGGATATCTATAATGAACATCGAGCTGAATTACCCGGGACAACGTTCTCATTGGTACGTTAATTAAGCTCAGCGCCAGGACTTTGCGTATACGTCATCTACCAGCAGATCCACTAGCGAACATATTATCCAAGTCGATTGTCGTACAGCCTCTTTCAAAGGAAACGTATCTATATGCATGGACGTATACTGAACGCATGAAAATTTAATCAAAAGTATGAAATAGACAATTCCAGTCCCGAGTTAGATAACAGAGAGTTGAAGTTTAGCGTATATACTGGGAGGTTAGGTTAGAAAATTATAAGAGACGCCATTGTCTGTTATGAAAGACATAGACAACCCACGCAGTTTTAGAGATCTTGATAAATTTTAACAATTTTTCTGGTCTTTTAGTGAAAAATATAAAAACAACATCGAATAATGATAATGACCCAGAACCATTGCTAAAAGCCATCCGGATCTGTAAAGCTGCATGGAGTGCGAAGGGTTTTTTTGCATTCCAGCACATGATATACTGTGACCTTATAGTCACCGCTCGACGCGAAGTTAAGATCTTTTTCTTATGCCGTTTCTTTTGTATATGTCCAGAATAATTGTTAAAAACCATCAAGAACTATGGAACTATGCCGGATGTTACGGGTTTCGCGAATATTGCGGGGTTGGAAGGGAGGAAATCGTGACAGCTTCTTGTACCTTTTTCTGTGTTAACGGGGAAGGGACTACCTCAAAACGTCACGCGAGAGGGCCGCTGGCTTTGAAAGCGATCCTGAGGATTTCTTAAAATTCTCGGAATCCGACGTGAAATTCCTAGAATCAGCCTTCGATTCGTGGAATCGGCTATCCTCGTGACGATACTCCTTGAAATCTGTGGGGTGCAAGAAATCGATTTAGCATGGATGTGAACCTTCGGGGCTCTCGAATTATCGGTAAGTGTCGGTGCAGGAATCTGTATCCAGAACCCCCATTGTTATAGGGGAAAACTGCTGGAAGAATGAGACTCCGTACTTCCGGGTCAAATTTTGGGATGACATGAACTTTAATAAAAGTACTTAATATGATAATGATCACGTGAAATCTCTAATCTAAAAAGTATAGTTTGAAGTTCTTGATAAATGTATACCATTTTTTGACGCTTTGATGTATTATGCGTTTATTTGTAATACGTAACGGACACGATACTTGGGACGAACCAGTCACTTGTAGATGCAATTAAATTCAGTTTATACCAATTTATCATGCAAATATAAATACTAGGGAAGTTTCTATCCAGTATTCAATTGTATGAATTATGCACGAGACCTCTTGAGGAATTTAGCTCAGACTTTGAATTCCGAGTGACTTCCTTTAAAAGTAGAAGGAGCCGTTAGTCAGTCGGACTGACGTTACAACCACTAAAACCACTAATCGAGAGGAGCTACTTGAAGGGTAACGTGAAGAATCGCGAAAAAAAATATAGTAATCATAACATAGAACAAATTTTTTTCGACAACTTTACATCACTATGTATGTATCCCCCTTAGAACTTAATTACCGCTTTAAGCTGATGCTCAACGTCGAGACGAAGCGAAACAGATTCGATAAAGAGTCACGAACCGTGAAACGGATTTTCGGCAGGATTCAAGTTCCCATAGGATTTCGCACTTTGTTTTCTCGTGCGTTCGTTAGCTATTAGTCTTTTTTTTTTTAAAAAAAGTTTACTACACATTTTTTTGCATCTAGATCTAAGGTTTGTTAAATAAGGATAGGAAGGTAAAATTTGGATTTTTCTAAAAAAAAAATGGACGAGTGTGACCATGCTGACGGTGAAATAAAATTTTCAAATTAAAAGTGTAATCAAATTTAATATAATAACTTTTAATAATTTAACAGTTCTCCGATAGTATTACTGTCTGTTATTGTTATAAATTCTTGTTAGCTAATTATTGTAACTTCATCTCACTGGGTCGATTAATTATCATGACTTCAAAATATAAATTCATAATACCGGCTTGCTTTAAGTATACTTGCATCATGGTTAGTATTATATCGACACTCGATATTATTAATTATAAAATCGATTAAACTGTAACACCACCGCGTATTCCCAATCGCCGCCGTTAAAGCGTACCACCTACGAAAATAGAGCTTTCATTCCACGTCTCCGATAAATAGTCCCTAACACTCCATGAAAATTACTTCATTAATCCCGTGACAAAGACTCGCGTCGTTAACGTCTTAACGCGAAGCACGGCTTTCGTATATTCCACGTGGTACAATTAAGAGTAAATTATAATGAGAATTCCAAAAAATTTTTTTTCCCAAAAAAAAAAAATCTCACCAGAAATATCCATTTTGTTACCACTATTCCAGCAAGTCTGTATTTTAAATCCAGAGTAAAAAAATTTTTAAACCACCTTACGTCGTGTAATAGAAATTAATTTTTATCACGCGACACCAGGTATACGAACCAATTTTTTTTTTTGCAGTTTGGACTTTCCCGTCGGATAACAGGAATCATGTGCGAGGGTGAATAGCAGAGATCTTGCTCTAAGCCTGAACCTAATAGGAAGAGAAACTTGAATCATCCTGGAAAGCCGGCTTAAAACGTCAGGACCGGGAAGCATTGGCTGACGATTACTCGTGCGGAAGTTCCTGGAATAGTGGCTTGATCTCACGGAATTCCAACCTTAAGGAGGAGCACCGGAATAATTAATAGGATACATACGTGTCTGTGATTACAATCGACGTAAAAAGGATATACCGTGACGTAAGAATTTTTTTATTAACAAGATAAAAATCAATTCGTTATCAACGACGATTAAGAGAAAAATGACGTAACTCGTAAATAAAATTGTCATATGTAATCGTGGAATGTAGGTTATGGCTAGTAGAATTTTGTATGACAATATTTTCCAAGGACATTCTAAACCCAAAAGTAGTGTCTGAAATATTTTTTTTTTCTATTTTAAAAAGGCGAATATGTAAAATAGAAATTTCTACCAGGAGCACAACAACAATACTGTCCCGTAAAAGGGGGTGGTAGGAGGTAAACTTTAGTTTTTACCTAGAAACGTCAATACGAATGTAGCTAGGTTCACTTGTATGTACATAGCAACGTATAATTTGACGATTCAAACTAAGAATGGATACCTGCAAGTACGGGTAATTGCCACAAGATGGCTCTAGTAACATGTTCTATTAGTTCTAGGATTGCCACATAAATATCATTACCCTATATGACCGGGTAACGAGAAGGTATACTCGAGAATAAGGGTAGAACGAAATGAAAGAGAAATAGGGGATGGAATGAAATAAAAAAAAATGTTTAAATGTCGAGGTCACCCTGCATTGGCCAATGACATAAGGAAACTCCAGGGTTGGAATGTAGGTGAAGTTGGTTCTAGTCCTATGTAGGTCGGACTGTCAGTGCCACGACCTCGTTTCATCCCCGTATCTTTACCACCCCTCTCCATGGAGAATGCTAACCTAAACCTTCTAAAGCAACCTTTGGTCTCGACCTAGCTACAAATCCCTAAATACATTTCCACCTCCTTCTGTGTGATTACGGTAAATTCTGTAGCCGCCTAATGAGTTCCTTTTGTCGCCTCTATGATTATATCCCATTTCTCATGCTCGTGTAGAATTAATAGAATCAAATTTGCCAGCGGGATATCAATTGGTTTAATGACTCCTTTAACGGACAAAGAAACTGGGATAAAGTTGCACGTGCAGTTGGGCTTTACGGCTGCGTACGAGTCCGGGCAGAGGAAAACTTTTCCGTATGGAATTTCTGGCCTTAATATATGAGAAGTGCAGCACCGTAGACGTGGCGTAAACTGTAAAACTGATATCGGGTGCAATATATCGGATATGGATATTAAGGTAGCAGATATAAGTAAGGAGATTCACAACGCTACGATTATAGGTGACAGACATGAGTAGAGAGATGCATAACGGTACGGTTTTAGGCGATACCAAAGGCATGGCGCTGAATCCCAACGGCGAGTACGGAAGTAGAGTTATGTGATCATAGCCTCCGTCGGTAATGCGGATCCCGTCGTAGCCGAGCTAACCGCGATCACGAACGTGTAGCTTGCCGGGCAGAGTCCTCCGCTACTTATCGCTGGTTCCCAAAGCAACTTTTAGAACGAGACAGCTCATCGGATATAGCCTAGATACTTTTTTTTCTTTGCAATCCTAAATTCGATCGCACAGTGTAAGCTCGGTTAGTTTAATATGACAAAAGCAAGCAACTCATGTCTGCCTGCATTGAAGCGTATGATGCCACCAGCATATTTAATACATATTTTACCGATGTTACAGAACGATTGTTAAAACCTATCAGGAACTGTAAAACTCCTCGAGAACTATTGAAAAAGCCTATTGTTCAACGTTTTTAAGAGATTTTAAAAAAGTGTGGTGCTGGAGCTGACACCCGTGTAACAGCTCAATTTTTTTGAAAATTCGTGTTTGTGTGAGATTCTGCTTCTGTATGTGTCTCCAAATTGTCAAATTTGGGCGAGCAGAAATTGCGACTCGGACCTGATTTGTTGTTACCAAACACGATGGTTATGCGCAATGGCCGTTGCCATCGTGTTATCACAAACTGGTATTACCCCGCTATGTCCCATAGGGTTATTAATACATAGCGTTCTCAATGATATCACAAACGCGATTTCTTGAGCGGATGCAGGCAAGCTATACGGATGATCACAATATCCTACTTGCGGACTCGCTGCTACGATTTAGCGCCATGCTTTTGGTATGGCCTAAAACCGTAGGATTGTCCATCTCGTTATTCATCTCTGAAGGTAGAAAGTTCATTGCCCCTCTATTTTTAGTGTGTAGCTCGTTACTTTCTTTTACTTTAAATATTCGGATGAAGTTTAAAACGAATTTTACTTCTGACAAACAACTTTGGGAAAACGTAGCGGAATAACGCGAGTTGATGATTGAGGTGGAGTTATTTAAGAAGTTTAGCACGACCTGTGGTGCTGTTTTTATTTGCGCACTCTGGTGAAAAATTGCTGAACTAGATAAGTCCCTCTGATAGAGTTACCTAGCGGAATTATTTTAAACTAAAAAAAACTTATCGTCACCCTAATGCATTTTTTTCGGTGTAATTTCAAGCATTTCCACTAGATGGCGATGTCGTGCGTGGAAAGCCCTTGTGCAATTGTTTTTGAAAAAAGTGAGAGTCAAAGATTTTTTTTATCTTTACGAATACGGTCCTATCTCGTTTTCTAATTAGGTTTGACATATCGAGTGTCGGATGCAGGTAATTACGTAATTATTGATCACAGAGATTCCTCGTGTATTCATACAATTACCGGATGGGTAGGACGAATCATGAAATGCAATTTATACGTGATGTTGCATCGTAAAATGGGGGTCCCGATTATAATAAGAAAAGTTAAGACACAAAAAAGATCTAGGATGATTACCCACCGGTATCATTATGGACGACAAACAAATTGATGATAATGCACCGTTACGTAATTGACCAAAGACATTTTTACTGATGAACATTTATCGTCTCCACCCTTTGCTATGTCAAGTAGCAATCATTCGACATAACGAAGTTAGAATGAGAAATGACTCGGTACCTCGAGATCATTAATATCGCATCGACGAAGTGCGTCTACTGGTTGCACAGGATACCGTTTTTACCGACCGATAGAACTTTTTTTACGACGCTTATCATTACCCGCTGCAGCCAACAGATGGAGCTTCCTGTAGCGCTGACCGTAAGAAAACGGAATAATTTTTTAAAACCTTGTACTGTATACCAATATGTATTTATATAAAACAATATCATACAGCAATTCAGTATATTCCAACTAAGATAATTGATTCGTGTCATTTATAAATTAAATGTTCTCACTGCCTCACCATGTACAAATATTTTTTTTATTATTTTAAAAGATCGACCTACGTGGAATTCTTGCCCTACGCATAGAATATCATACAATTTGTGCTTTGAGCAACGACATCAATATACATTATTAGAATTCTAGCGACGAATCTTTTACCAGCCAAAAAAAGTACAGCCGAGATACACGTAATCGCGTCGTCACTCAGTTACGACTACGAAGAGTCTTCCGGGTGAAGCAATTTTTTTTCGCAAAAATAAAAAAAAAGTTCCCTATTGCACAAGAAGAAGAAAAACAAGAGAGAGAAGGAAAGAAACATAAATTTTCCTAGATATCATGAAAATCTCGTTTATCACGCGTGCGTAACACGCGCGCGTGAACGTCGAGACTACATTTCCGATATTACAGACAAAATGAGAATCAACGACGTCGTTACGTATTTTCGAATAGATACGTAAGCGCCATTACATATTTTAGATATCACAAATAGACAGCTGTTTGCCTCGCTACTGGGACTAGTCGATAACATAATTACAAGAACGCATCCCTTAATAATAATATACTATATACAAAATATAGATATATATAATATATAAACATATTTATAAACACATATACCCTCTAAAAAAAAATACTGAAACTTCTGCCATGCTTTACAAACGTACCGTAAACCATTTCTTTTTTCTTTCTTATTACAGATTGACGACATCCCGGCGCGGGAAGAAGCTTCGGCATAACCATCAAGAATGGCACGATCAACAATTTACTGCATCAACAGGCCATATAAATATATCACCGTGTACGTACGTACTGACAAAAACCAGAAAAAAGAAGACAAGATACTGTATCGTGAATTATACGAAGAGGTCAGCGAGTGCGCATGCACCTACACAAAGTGAGCGCACCAACTGTTGCACAATTTTTCACTCCTTATGTGAATTTTTCAGAATTACTGTAGCACTGTAGCGATATTTGAAATCGGGAAACAATTCCCCAAAGAGAACAAAATTTTAAACACCGAATTTTGATTTAGTACAAAATTCTAAAGTATTTTGAAATATTTGTATAAAGGCATGGAATACAATGCAAACAGTTGGAAAGTACGATACGGTACAGTGTTGTGTTTATAATTACAGCTATATACAAGGTGTTTCAGAAATAATGGTCCTGTCGGTTCGGAATTGAATTGAGGAAAGAATGCGCAATGGAGATGCGCAGAACGTAGAAAAGGACGATGACTGACCGAGAGGAGTCCTTGAATAATACATTTAACGCGATCGATGCGCGATCGAGAATCGACGATACGCTCAGTCCTATTAGAAAATCGATGGAAGATCGATTCTGAATCGATGAGTCGTCGGATCACGATTGAATCGCCGGAAGTCCAGTGGTGGTCTACGCGCATTTCCTGTTTCCTGCAGAGTCCCGTCGCCTTCGCGCGTAATTTATCATCTGTGAGGACAGTTAGCCACGTGCGGAAACAAGTGACAGTGTATGGACCTGAACCTGCAATGAAAAAAAAGGGGTAAAAATTGAAAAACAAAGTGCAAAAAAGTTGTCGCAAATAATAAAAGGCACTAAAAATAGAACCATTCACGCGAAATTTATCTTGTGATTCTTTACGTCCCGTGCAATTATTATTATCTATGTCGATTAACCTTTCGACTACGGCTGGACTTTCCACAACACTGTGTCTCTGTATGGGAAAGCTTCGACGGGAACTGCGCGAAAACCGCGCATGGCGCTTTCCGCTATGACACTAAATCGGAATATTTGCGAATCAATAAATTCTAATAATTTTCTTTTCATATCCACGAGAGCCACTACAGTGGCGTAACGTTCGAAAAGCTGACTTACGCAAAAGCCACTATACACAGTGGCGTACCGTTTAAAAAGGTAACATACGCGAAAGGCATTATTGTAGCGTTCTGTAGCTAAAAGGTTAAAACCGATAGACTCAGACTATACGCTATAAGAGAATGTATCAGCTAAGATGCACGTCCGCGGTTTACAGAGAAACGGTGAATGATTTTGAAAATCGACTATTGAATATTTTTTAATTTTGCATCGGTTACGCATATTACTGTTATTTAATTTTCGTTTGTAAATGAAAAAAAAAAAAGTATATTTTGCAGATCAAATAATGTCGAAAAAACGTTGAATGCAAATTTTTGCCAGATTTACGATACTCGGCCTTAGCTTCGGGCAGCAGCCCTGGCAAACCCGTACACGGTAGTTAAAAGGCATTGCAGTACTATCTTTTTAATTACAGGATGGACGTTCATAACTCCATCTCAGATTGTAGGTGTCCTTCGCCCTGGTTCTTAGTGATTACATGTCGGAGGCCTTTGCAGTCTTACGTGCTCCTGATTGTGGGTATTTGCACCTGATAGGTGGCGATAGGATAGACTGCTAAGGCTAAGGTGAGAAACAGATAGAATCGAAAGTGAAATATTTTCACTTCCAGCCACGTATGTTTCGCGTGAAGTTGCTGCACGAGGCTAGAGCTGTTTCAAAACAATCTGTCAAAAAATTACAAAATTTCGAAATCTACGACTCGCGCATTCAACTTTATTCGATATTATTTGAAATAGCAAAGATCATTATTCTACTTTACGTACGGAAGTCAAACAAACAACAATGATATGCGCAATCGACGCACCCAAAAAATATTCTATGCCCGCCGCATAAAACAGCGTAAACCGCAAACGTACATCTCGACAGATACACTCTGTGTACGTCTATCCGCTTCGAAAGAAAAAACCGTACATAGCAATTAAATCGTATAACGGTAGCTCGTAAATAATACCGGACGTGAAGGTATTGAAAGTAAAAAAAAAATCCTATACCAACAACAAGACTAATATAATTGGAACAACGCCGATGAAAGCCATAATAAAATTCCGTCAAATTATGGGGAAAAAAATTTTTTTTTTTTTAAATCCCAATTACCTCTTAGGATCATCTTTTTCGTCAAAACCATCGATCTTCACGACGTTCCATTCGTCCCGCGATCCTTTGGAGTAGCTGAACGACACCTGTAAACAAAAATCCATAGAAATAAATCAATAGTACAATTCTCAGTGTATTTGAGAACCCCTGGTACGTAGCGGCAACGGCAGCGTAATCGTTATAAAATTCCACTTGCAGTGAATTGAAAGCAGAGTGCTCGTGCTGTCTCTGCTGAAAGCGAGTGCAGTTATTTTGCCTAGCCACTCATTTCTTCTCATCTTTTATATTCCATCTCTACACCCCCCCCCCC